TCTAACAGCCTTTGCATGGACAATCTATTTACGTGCAAAACAAGTCGGCCTATTATAGGTGTACAGCTGGGATGAAAATATAGTAAAAACTTAGTATTTAGAATAGTTATCTAAATACTATCTGAAAACTTTTGATGTTCTTCTATTCCCGATCTATCTCTCTATCTCTAAAAAACAGGTCTCTTTCCTATCCGTTTACTGAAGTAGAAGTCAGTTCCATTCTGGTGGTAAAAATAACTTTTACCCCAGGAATGATCTGCTCTTGTTAAGTTATAAATTACTATTTTAATGTAAAAAAACCATAGGGAAAACAACCTTGACAGACAAAATTTTTACTTTAGCTTTCGTAGTCTGTTTTTTTCGAAAACTTGTTTATTATAATATAAAACTAAAAATCCAGTTTTCTATTATAAACATTTGGACTTCTCCAGTCACGTCACCGGAGGTTGGTCGGTACTTTGGAGGGTGACGTTGCAAGTGGAACGCTTCGAATATAATATGACATCTGTAGATGCAAAAACACGGGGTGGTGAAAACATGTTTAATTTTTGCGGGTGACCTTTGTAACAGCATGTACCTAATGTAAAAGACAAAGGACTGATATTGGTTGATTGTAAAATATTTCGACTTCCACCCAATATGTTTTTTTGTTAGGTAGGTGTTTGGTCAAAAAATATGATGTGATTACTGTACATATGAACTACGTATAGTGTTCAATACTGAATGAGGAGTACCAACAAGACCGTAAACTGTCAGCTAGTACAAGTGTTATAAGTAAATAGAAGAAAGGATCCGTTATAGATTTCGGTCAAAAGGGGAGAAATATTCTTACACACAAAAGTGGTAGTAATTGCCCAGAAAGGACCAGCATAACTAAGGAGGGAGCTCCGTTTCGGGCAGGTCCAGTAGGTCGAAGGTGGAAGAGGGTCACATACATCCAACCTTGAGGTCCAGGTGTAGGGTTATTTTCTAAAATCCTATGGAGAAATCTGATTGCTTTTTTGTGGAGGGAACCCATGCGCAGCTTACTTCCTGGTTTTAGGACGCGTCTCTCGTCTCCTCTTCACACACCACACTTTTCGCGGCACACGTACTTACAGCCAATCAGCTCTGAATGATGTGAGATGACGTATGGTGGGGATGGTATTATTTTTTTTCCACACACATTAAATAGGAAAATACTCTGAGCATGCGCAGTGTAGTGTTTATAGTCACCGTTCACTTAGACAGGGAGAGGGAGGGGCATGATCGGGTTTTGTCCCACATGGCTCTAAACAGCTCAATAGGCACACACTTTAGACACTAATTAGAAGAACACAGACTAAAACAGCAATGTACAGACGAATCAGATGATTAAACATGATCTTAAAATATATTTTATATTTTTTTTAATTTATTTTTAGCATTTTTTTGTAATTATTTTTAATACTTTCTGTTTTAAATCGCCACTGAATGTTTCCCCTGGCGGCTGCCTATGACATCTTTCCACATGCATTGTCTGGAGAAGTAACACGCAACACATGATTACCTTCACACATTTGAGTTAAAGTCCCTTATTTGGGGATTTGGAAGACAGTTGTTCATGTTTAGTCATATTTCTGGACCGTTTTAGACCATGGCAAACATGTATGAATTTTGTAAATGGGTGTAGTTGCCCCTTTAAAATAAACTACACACACCTCAAAATGCATGGTTGACTTGCTAGCATGTTTGTACACACATGATGAAAGTATAATCCGGATTTCCAAAACACAGGCAGCTTTTAATCGCTTAAATGGATTTGTCTTCTACCCAATTCCCCCAGTTGTTTGCTTTGTTATGGTAATGCTTCAAATCCGTTAAGAAATCCCAGCAGGAACTCCACACCCTCTGTAGAAAAACAAAGAAGGGTTGAAAACATAAAGCTAAACTCCCAAATCCAAACAAACAATTGAAAGATGGTTGTTAACTTTGTTTTCATCCTAATGTCTGTTGCTGCAGAGTGGGAAGCTGCCAAGAATGCCGAGCCCGTAAAGGAAGTAATAATTCAGCCAACCAGCGTTGAGACTCCAGCGGTGTCTAACACACACACTGAGACCTACAGCCAGCAGGTCACCATGATGCCTGTACAGGTACTAAACACACTCTCTATCTGTGGATGAATGTGATCAGTTTTGTACATTTTCTCCAAAAATCTGTTTGTAAAAAGAGTTTATAGGTTTTATTGCAGATTGTATGTCCACACTTTCTATTTTATTGGATGATAATGGAGACGGTGCATCATTTTTTGCATGAAGTGTTACCATGTTGATAGAGGCTTTTGCAGCTACTCATCACGTCATTGACTTATTCACATTCTCTTGTAACCCTCTCTTTCAGCTCCCAGTGGCCCAGCCTGTTCCCAGTGCTGTGGGTTTGGTGCCTCCTAACTTCCCTGTCAGTATGGGTATCCCCCCCCCTGGCTACGGGCCTCCACCACCCTTCATCAGGGCCGGCTTCAATGCCTCGCAGCCTCCGCCAGGTAAATAATGCAAATGCTTATATAAAGAATACATATCAGACTTACAGGAATTCAAAGCTAACAATAAACATGTTCTGCTTTGCAGGTTTTATGCAGGCAGCACAGACCGCAGCCATGAATGCCGCAGCTAATGGTGAGTATTTACGACATGATACCCTAATATAATATTTCATATTGTATGTTAACAATTGAAATGTCATTTCAAGGCTTAGCATTTAAATGTATTAGTTTGGATTACATGTTTTTGTTCCTGTTCTCGTCTATAGCTCTGGTGCAGCCTTCAGTGCTAAACAGCCAAGATGCTGTCAAGGATTCTCCGTTCAGTGCCATGATTCCTCCGGCCGGCTTCATGGCCTCTATGTTCCACCAAGTCCAGCAAGCAACCAATGAAAAACCATTGCAGTCTGCAGACGGAATGGATGCTGCAGCAGAGCTTACGCTGCAAGGTGAGCAGATGCTAATGTGTTCCAGCATGAGAGAGATTCAAATCTGGTGGACACTTTGAGTGTTTTTATAAGCAGCCCTAAAAGGTATTTGTGTTTATCCAAAGAGAATCGTAACAATAATTTCTGTCATTGTGATTTGTCCCTAGGCATGCAGAACGCAGTGCGCAGTGGGATGGGTCTCCTTGGCATGCACCCCACAGCCTCCCTCGGCCACCAGCTGCACCAGTCTGCTCTGACCGGCCAGAGGATGCCTGGCCTGCTGCCTCTGGATGTTCGACCCAACATCCTCCAGCCCGGGGCGGCAGCCCGCTTCCCACTCCTCATGCAGCAGGGGCCCATCCAGCAGGTTGCTGGCCTGCTCGAGAGTTCCCTCCAGGCTCAAGCCCGTGCCAGGGTCCCGTTCTCTCAGCTGGACCCCTTCAACAGGGTCCCAAACCTCGCCAATGAAAGTGTGTCCAAGCCAGAAGACGAGTCTTCCTCTGGAGCTGATGAGGGCAAAGACCAGGACTACCGATTCCCTCCAATGGAGAAGCCGAGCACAGGCCTGCTGAGGACCCCTCCACCAGACCATAGGGAGGCCCTTGGAGGTGGCAGGCCTCCCTTGCTCCAGACCCCAGGGGCTCAGCCAGGCAGAAGCAGCCTGGTGGGACGATTGCAGGCTCTCGCAGGCTTCACCCCTGATAACCGCTGGAACCAGACCAGAGGGGACTTTGATGAACGAGATAGCATGCGAGCAGGCCTCCAGGCCCCAAGCCCTGCAAAAGGCTTCCAGGAGGAGCGGCCCCCATCTGGGCAGAACTTCCCCAATCGATTTGAAAGCCGTCCCGGGACAGCAGTGGGAGCAGCAGGGGGAGCCGCAGGTGTTTCAGGCAATGCTGTAGCTGCCGGGGGGCCGCAGGCCTGGAACCGCAGTAGCAGTAGTAGCAATAGTAGTAGTAGTGGTGCTGCTGCTGCTGCTGTTGCTCCAGCACCTTTTGACAGCGAACAACATCAAGACCTAGATGAGCGAAGACGCCCGTGGGACAGGCAGAGAGACAGAGATGAAAGAGAAAGAGAGAGAGATTTTGACTTCAGGAGGGAGATGAATGGCAACCGCCACAGCCGAGAGAGAGAGCGGGACCGAGAGAGGGACAGGGACAGGGAGCGAGGCAGAGACAGAGACCGCAACAGAGAGCCTGAGCGCGACAGAGAGCGCGACAAGGAGAGAGAGCGTGAGAGGGATCGTGATCGTGGGGGGTGGACGCCTCTCCTCCCTCTGCCCACACCTCTGCTTCCAACTCCAACACTCAATCCCAATCTGACCCTGAACCAAGGCAAACTGCTGGCACCGCTTAAATTGAACCCCCAGATTCAGTCACGGTTCCAGTCCCCGCTCCTGCCTCAAGCTCATGCCAAACCCTCTCTGTTGGGTCTGCCTCCATCAGAGGTTCAGATTAAGTCTCCACCTCCTTCCGAGAGCCAAGCAGCTGTGCCAGAGTCAGAAAGCCCGGCTCTGTCTGAGACACCGAAGGCCCACTCCCCACCCCCAGCCCAATCACCTGACTGCTCACCTGACAACAAAGATCAGAGCCCATTAGCTGAGTCTCACAGCCAGGCCAAGTCTTCACCACAACATGAGACTCCTCCACAAACAGAATCACCATCCCTATCCCCGGCCCAGTCCCCTGAAAAGACCCCTGCTCAGTCCCCGGCTCAGGCTGCCAGCCTGTCCCCGGCCCCATCCCCAGCACTGTCCCCGGCCCCATCCCCCGCACTGTCCCCAGACCAGTCGCCCTTCAAAACCACTGCTTCCCCAGACACTGAGACCCCAAGCCAAGCTTCACCGCTGATTGAGGCCTCTTCCCAGGACTCACCTGTGGCCTTCACACAAGCCGTCAGCCCTCCTGAAGAGACTCCCTCTCTGGAAGAGCAGGAAAGCCCACAGAAAGACGAGGAGGAGGAGGAGGAGGAGGAGTCACAAGAGAGAGCCTCCTCCCCCCAACCCCAGTGGGTCAACGGAGCTGGGATGGACAATAGTACAGGGGCCGAATCTACACCCGAGGCCTCTCCCGAGCCCACCGAAGAACCCTCTCCCGACTCTGCGCTCCCTGAGAGCGATCCGGAGCGGCTCGCCTCTCCTGAGGACGTAGACAATGAACAGAGTGAGCCCATGGAGGAAGCTGCGAGTCAGCCAGTGGTAGACACTGTCACAGACACTGAGGGGACATAATCATCACTCAGTAGGTAAAAGATCATTTTGTAAAGTTGTCTCTTCTTCTCTGTACTCATGTCAGCAAACCACCACACGGGACATGGCGAATACTGACTCATGTCAGTTGCTGTCTTATAACCAATAACAAATGATTTTATCTCTCACAAATACCAGTGTAATTAAATAGATGGCTCATTAGCTGATTTACCGATAGACCATTTTTCTTTGTGTTTTTATTTCCTTTTTTAAGTTGTAATGCAACCCCACACGTTTTAATGAATCTTAGCTTGGCGAGTTTTATTGAATTGCCTACCAAACTGTTTCAATTGTATATGGGGGAAATTGCGCTTTGACCTTCCTATGGAAGAAAGTTAAACATCCTGGCTGAACGGAACGAATACACACAATACTTGAAAAAGGCAGTTGCTGGCCCATTTTCTATCTCCTCTTCTTTTTAAAATGCTGCTGCAAAGTTTTCAGTGAATGCTTTTGTGGTGTCCTACAATGCTTTCTGTTTCCACGCAGAAAAAAATAGCTTGCATACAGCGAGACAAGTACAGATGCTTATAATTGGCAAAAATGAACATTATTTAAGTTGAAAATGTTGTATCCCCAAAATAAATGTCTGTAATTTGTTTCCAATTATACATTGAACACATACAGGAAATAACATGCCGGGGGGAGAAAAGGAACAGAGGCATGTTCTCATGTTGGGTGCATATTGTTTTAGTTTGAAATAAACATACTTTGTCTGTTTTTAAAAGAAAAGAACATGCTTTAGGACTGTTTTCTGACCCAGGACCAGTGGAAACTCAGACTGCTTTACAGACTCTAACACACTCAAGTTGCTTCTATACCATCCATCCAGAGCACTTTGTTGGATGCAACCGTGGGACTTGTAGTTTTTTTAGTTTCTGATGAATTCTGTTTCCTAAGCTTTTGCTGGGTGACTGTTGAGGATGGGATTGTGCCTTTTTTTGAATGGATTTGTCGATCATGATGCTACCCAACACTACTGTGCGATGTACCCCAGACTCAGTTTCAGACCGCTCTATGAACACAATTCTACCTGCACAGAATTGACTGGCCTACCGTTTGAATGGTAGCTGGGGCGCTTTGTACAGCACTCACCTAGAGAACACGTCTCAAACATACTCCATCGTTCTGTGCATGCAGGCCTGTAGCCATGTTTTAACATCTCTCTTTTGTCATTTCATACTTGTAGTGCTTTTCTGTTGAGACATACTACTAGAAATCCATAGTCTGCTCTCAAACCAAATGTCTACTACCGGAGTTGTGATGTTGAATAAAAGTTGAAGGTGCATCGGATTTGTACCCCTCTTGTCGTGAATCCTGCCCCAGAATGATCAGATGACTTCTCCCACACACAATCAAATATGAGTAGTTTTAACCAAAGGAAATGTATATAGATCATGTGACATGCATATCTACTATGATACTTTTTGTATGGAATATAAATCACCCAAATTGTAGGCACTGACTTCACTAGATGTCTTTTTAGGTCACTTACTCTAAGGCAAGCGTAATTGGAAAGAAAACTTGAACTCCCTTGAGATCTGAGATGCTGAACAAAGGCCATTTCCACACTGTCAAGACACTGCAGTGTATTGTTTCCCCTCACCTAGCAATAAAGGTGTAGATGACAACCACATGCCCTCATACTAAAGTATAGTTTATATTCACAATAATAAAGGACTTGTGAATGATTAAAATAGGAAGAACAAGGTGCAGAAAAGAAAGGAAGCCTGAAAGACTTCTCAGACACCTTCCCAATGTAATCGACAATGACATTATCTTATTAAAAAAGATGGCAAAGAACACAGCACAGGGAATATCTATAAACAAAAGCAAGTATAAAGACACGATAAGAATAAAACAAAAACGATCTACCAACTGAAGCCAAGCTAAGGGCAAACTAGGGACAGTTCCTATATAAGAAAAAAAAAAACATAGCTGCCATCTGGCACAACAGAACAAAAGGGTAAGGAGGGGATAAACAAATGAGGTTGATGTGGAGGAAGTAGGATATGCCTTTCCCCCCTCCCCTCCACACCCTGCACTGCCAGAGCCCTGGCTGCTACAGCTGGAGAAAGTGCTGACACAGCACATGCTAGCACCGGGCCCCTCTTAATATTCCTTTATGGCCCTGCTAGTGTCAGAATACTCAAACTAGAGGATTAATTTAAACGCTGTTGCCGCTTCAGCACTTTCATTCTTATGGGGGGGGGGGCTAGGAGAAAGGCAGCTCATTGTGCTGCATAATCGTCCGCCAATTACACCTGAGTTTAGCCTGCTAATCCAGACGTGAATACACAGAAATAAATGTGTCATAGTTTGGCTCTGGATTTAGCATCTAGAGACCTGTAGAGGATAAAGTCGAGCTCTAGCAGACTGTTGTGTTTCTCCTAGTGTAACTCGATCTATACATTTCCACCTGGCTCCCGAAGGCCCGGGCAGACAGCCAGGTCGAGCCCCCTGCTGACCCCCCTGCAGAAAGATGTGACGCTGAGCATCAACCACTATCTGCCCAGAAACAGATATACATTCACACAGCAGTTGGCTAGCCCTCCCTTGGCCAGCAATAACAAATAAATCCTCTCTGTGGAGGCGCAGCATCCTTCAGTTATTTATCTGTGGTGAAATAAAGAGCATGTTTGCTAAAGTGGATCAGGATCTGTTTATGTTATTATAGCCAGTATAACCAACAGGGACAGCCGTGACTCACTCGGCCATTTGCACATCACTCCCATGTTATTCTCCATATAATCCCAGAGCCAACCCCATGGGAACAATGCACAGTGGGCCTGACCTTAGATCAGCATTACGGCTAATGAGTGCCCCCCAACTATAATGGACTGGAATAATAATACATTGCTAATACATGGCCATGTGGTAGTGCTTATGTGTGCTTGCTCATACACAGAGGTTCCCGGCTGTGAGGAAGTCAATTAGACAAGAGTTACGATTTATTTTGTAAATAAGTTTAAATATGACCTGGTGAAGTCATAACAGTCTGATAATGCCTGAAAATGTTCAACGTCAAGGCCTGATTTACTCCAAATGGTGCGTTTCAATTAGTTTTAAAAGAAATGAAAGACTAGTGGTGCATTTCCACCACTTATATTGTCCTCCTGTTGCTGATAAAAGGCACACAGTCTGTGCATGTGCCGCGTCAGTTCCACAGCTGACCATTTGGGGGCAGTGTGGTACTGCAGCTCCCCCCCTCATTACAGCAGACAGAGGACTGTTGCTCTGAGCAGACTGGGTTTCTTGAAGTGCGACAGCTCAAAATCTGCAGTGCTCACCTCTCTTACCTTCTGTGCTTCACTCTCAGGGAGACCAATACAATTCCACCAGTGCCATGGAGGGGTATATCTACACATGAAATTCCCTCCTTTGAAAACAGGCTCAGCGTTAAGATAAGGGTGTAGAAAATTGCCGAATCTTCACGGTGCCACTGTGCTGAAATTGATACCTCCTTCCATACCTTTTTTCAAATCGATACAGGCGCGCTTTGATAAATACAAAGAGGTGCTTTTAGTGTGAGACTTGGCCAGTTTCTCCTGCTTCTCAGTTGCTGCATTCTTTAATTGATTAAAGCTATTGATTAGGGCTCCAAAAGCCTCTAGACCAAAATCAGCCTCCATCTATCAGCCATGGCCAGATATCATATTTGAGTCTGTGCCAAGCAGAGGGCGTTAGCGTGGCTGCTGACACGAATAAATGGGCATGAGAGATTCAGAGCTAGAGCAAAAAAACAGAGACATCTATCTTCCGTCCACCTGGTTATGCAGAAGAGGAATCCCCTATCTCTGCTCGCTCTCCACAGCCACAGTAATTACTCACCACTGGGAGCGTAAGGTTCCTCTGCATTCAGAAAGCCAGTCTGCCCGGCTCCCCGTTATCAGAGCCAGCAGGCTTTAACGGAGGCGTCTAAAGTTCCCCACACCTCGGGGGCAAATTGGCTGAGAGAGGCAGCAAGTTCATGGGGATCAGGGGCTTGCTTAGGGGTCCTGCAGCAGGGACCCACCAACATCTTCACGTTCTCACTCTCTTTTTAAGTCCCATTAGGAATTTTAATCCATGCTGCCAAAGGGGGATTTTTTTTTTTTAAATTAGAGAAGGAAAGAAATCACACCGCAGAAAGATGAGAGGCCGATGCTGTTGCCATTATGGCCTTCCTCAAACAGACAGAAAATACTGCGAATAAATACGTGACAGGTACAATCATGTTTCAATGAGTCATTTAAACGATTTTGGTTGGGACATCCAACAACTGTTGGATGGATGAAATGACATTGGTATATTCATGGTCCACAGAGGATGGATTCTTAAGACTTAGGTGATCACTAATTATTCGTCTAGCACAAATGGACCTCGTGGTGGGGCTATAAGATGAGTCAACGGCTCCCAAAAGTCACAAGGATTAATCCTCTGGGGACCATGAACGCCTGTACAACATTTCATAGTAATATATCTAATAGATGTTATGGTATTTCAAAGTGTTTGACACCAATCGACTGAAAGACTGCCCATACCTAGAGCAGTGATTCTCCCATTGGCTGAAAATAAACGTGTATTTCTAGCCAGCTCATTGTTACATGTTTTTCCCACGACACACAACATCCGATTAGTCACTCATCCCATTGACATAACCATCCTCTCGTAGATAAAGTAAGTACAACTGCAGCACAAGTCCTGTCAACACTTCAGTCCTTTTGATTTTGGTTGCCAAAGACCTTTATTTGAACCACCATATGGCCAGTTAGTACTTCACCATGAATTATAAACATGGACGTGTTAGCTTAGCATGTGTGTTGATGTTTCTTTCTTTAGGCTCCCCAGTGATAGGCAAAAGGTTCATCCAATACAAACTCCTTTCCAGCTTGTTGATTGTTCTCCTCTTCAGAGTGAGTGCCGCTCCACTTTAGTTTTTTAAAGTAGCAATATGTCTCGTATTTCACCTCAACGTTCATGAGTACTTTTCATTTCAACTTCTCTCTGGCGATTTGTTAGCAAGTATTTTCTTCTTTTTTCCCCCCGTCAAGCCAGGAGCAGAATGAGAGAAGGACTGTGTTTGCCAAATCAGTGTGTGTTTGCATACTGAGAAGGTGTGTGAGTGTTATCAGGGGTCTACAAGCTTGTCACTGAATACCTTTTTTCCTACACAAATATGTGCGTGTTTTATTGGCAGCGGTGCCACATTTGTAACTATAATTAAACCCATTTGCGGGAATTTGGTTTGCACAGGCAGAGACATTACACTCCCGTTTTACAATCAATGTCTGTTGTCTATGTTAACGCTGTTAGTCCCTAATCTTCTGTTAGTGGCACCAGTGTCAGTAAACATACATCATCTGTTTACATGTGACTGTCTGCTCTGTTGGCGCCCCTGCTTCTCCTCTCAAACAGTCTGCCGCTCATCCTGGGTGCACTGTGGGGTCATAAGAGGTTAAAGGTCAAACAGACACAGGGAGGAGTCTGGGGAAAAAATGCAGGAGAGGGTAGTCAAGGAGATGAAAATGAGCTACAAACACCTTTTTTTCATGATTTTCAGAGGCATGGTTCACGGCAGGCGGAGTGTTGTGTGTAATGTGGGTGACAGGGGAGCTTATTAAATCTGCCAACACAAAGACAAGGATATGTGTGTGTTTGGGGGGGGGGGGTAGCTGAGCAAGCTGGGTGAGCATTTGATAGCTCAGCACTTTGCGTCTGAAACATGAAATGTATCAGTAAAGACAGGCAGGTCTCCAGCTGTCAGTCTTGCATCAGTCTCATGCGAGTGGGCACATCATTTAACAATCCTCCCTCTGCATTTACATCACTTTTTATCATTATGTATTTGCATTCCTCTGCAGCTAGATTGAACCTCACACATTCACGTAACAGACATGTTATACCCCCTCTTTGTTCTCATGTGTAGTCTACCTCTGCGTATCTGTCATCATTTGGAAAAGAAGACCTTATAAAAGCTGCCTATTAAAAGGCTGACTCAGGTTCTTCCTGCAGATGTGACACCTGGTTCATCCACCTACACAACAAGCCTCATTGTTTCCGTGAAGTGTGTGTGTGTGTGTCTACCTGCCCACACACATGACTCTTATTTGTTCGCCCCTGCTCTTGTTGTTTGTTAGCATGGTGCTAGCTGGTAATTAGCCCTGAAGCCCCCGCCGTACTCTGCCTGTTTGTTTACGCTGGCAAGAAGCAGCAGAGTACCTCCTGGGAGTCGGAGGCGTCACTCAGAAGTGTGTACGAGAGACGGAGCAGACGGTGTCAGATGAAACAAGATAGGAAATTCCTGACTCACC